TATCTAAAGATGGAACCTGATTATTATCTATCTATGTATATATGTATCTATAAAAGATAGATATATACTGTCAGAGGCTTGCAGTATAAGCAGGAGGAGAACCACTTATGACCCTCAGATATCACCTAGCTGCTGAATTAGTGATGCTCCAAAATTGCTCTAGCAGGCAAACAAAAACGTGAGTCAGTGGAACGTGGATGCCTAAAGGCCTTTGGCTTTCAGGGCTACTTCATAAACTTACTACACATGCTCATTACTAGACTAAGTAATGAGCACAGACCTTCAGAGCAGCTGCAATGGCTTTGTCTGGTCCTGTAAGCAAGTACACATAGGCTTGATTCCTATTTCTTTGAGAAGCACCCAATGGAATTCAAATTTTGTACATGAGGGGTGATTTGGGGACTTATTTCCCTTCTCTGCCTTTACTGACACGTTTTCTAAGGCTGATCTCAGAGCTGAAGTTTCTCAGAGAAGATATGAGGCACAGTCTTGATTTTTACCACCATAAAATGTCACCACAATGGTATTTGCAAGAGAAGGTGTGTCCTCACTTCTTACTACAAAGCCAGCAATTGCATGTTCTAAGTACAAATGGACCATGGATGAGGTGATAAGCAGCCGTGCTGCCTCAGCACGTGACAGTATTTTGGGAACAATGTCCTCTGGGATGGCTTGATACATACTTTGAAGGGCTGTTTGCATTACTGCACATTAGGGAAAACATATTCTAAAGCATAAGTGAAGCGTCTCAGGTCCTCTGCATTCTGGGGAAGAGAAAAGACAGAAAAGGCTGAGAGATGCTGAGAAACAAGCTGATTTTAGCCACCAGTGGAGGGGAACACCCCACTTAAACTTTGTTTTCTTCTCTGGTTTGCCAGAGTTCTCCAAGGAAATCATACTTTACCTGTCAATTTCTGAAAGCAACACAAATTCTCTACTTGGTCATAATGTTTTTCTGTTTTTAATGACACTTTATCAAATAAAAAATGCTGTCATCTACAGCAAAAGAAAACAAAGTTGCCAGTTATTAAATGCTTTTTGTATCCAGCTCCTCTATAAGTACCTTATTTTCTTCAGTAATTTTCAAGATTTCAGGCTAGGATCACCACAGACTCTTATATCGTATTATTTTCCTACCATGAAGTTGTTTATGTGTATTGTTTACCCAACAGACATTTCTCTTTCACTTGGTATATTCATTACTAAATAATTCTGTGAGAAGATACAGGCCACTGATTTTTTGCAATTTGCATCCCCATACTCTAAGCTATGTTGAAAGCATAGCTTTTTGGTCCTCTTGCTTTGGGAGTACATTAATATTTCTATGACCTTTACTAGATGGCAGATGAGAAGCATTAGGAATAAAATAACAAATAAACCAAAGGAAACCAATTTTTTAAAACGTGTGTTTCTGAAAGGAGCAATGGGAAAAAGAGTCTAGTCTAAAAAATATGAACTTTAGCTAGAGTTATGATAATTGTTCCATTGTACCTATTTTTCCATGTCAAAATGCTTCTTTATAATCAATCCACTCAACATAATGCAAAAATGTATTTGAAGGGGTTTAGTAGCTGTGCATACAAAAATATATGGATACTATTTAGAGGTATTTAAAAAGAAGCAGAGTAGTTTAAGACGTGATTATTTATTGTGCACATCAAAGTGACCATATTAAAAACATGGCCACTATACCAACAACTACTTTACACAAAATGACTTCAAATCATTTAACTTCCAAACCCTGATGATTGTAAAGAGAAATTTTGTAAAACAAGCTGCAAATGCAGCGACTTTGTGTGTAGTGTAAATCCTTTGCTTTAGAAGATTATACTTTCTGAAGGCTTTAGAAGACTGTAGGAGGAAAACCAACTAAATTTTACCCAGGAAACCATTTCTCTCACAGCAGCATTGTTTTTCAATGTTTTTACTACACACCGGAAGCCTACTCTGTTCCTGTTCATCTAGCTGTTGATGCCATAACTCAAAGGAACAGATCCAAAAATCATTTTTAGTGACTTTAAATTTGACTGCTTTATGAACACTGTGTCTATGTTAACAACACCTGTGATTCAGCGTGGCATTTAACAGAGCGAAAGCAAAAGTTGTCCCATGAACTGAAGTATTTGTTCACTGGTTTCCAGCTGGAGGGAAAGCTGAGATTCTTTAATAACAATCCTCTTTCATGAACCTTTTAACATACACTTATATCATATGCCACAGTATCAAGTGAAAGGATATTCAGGGAGGGAAAGAGGTGTGGATTATTTCTCTTTAGGATAGTGTGGAAGAGTCAGAACATTTTAAAATAGCAATAACCAGATCATCATACCTCAAATCACATGAATCTAGAAGGGTTCAGATGAAATCAAGTGGTTCTGGTTACAGGATTGACATGATGGCAGGAATCCCCTTCTGTCTTTACTATCAAGAGCAATGCTTCTGTAGCCAGTAGAATCAGGCTAGACCTTACATTGAATGTGTCACATAGTTATTTTTTAGACTTTTGTAAGTCTTCTGGAGGAAAATTTGCCCTTCTTGAGTTTTCAAGGAATACTACCTTATAATTTCAGGGATGAAATATAGTTTTATTATAATTATAAGAACTTCTTAATAGAAAAAAAGAAAGTTTAAAAACATGCTTATTTTTGGTTTAGTTAGTTTATTTTAAGTGAAATGAGGGACCTCTTTATAGTTTGGATACACAGATTTCCCCTCCATTTGCTCTTTAAGTCAGCTTGTTGATCTTTGCTCAAGTTTTCAGAGAAATTGAAAGTAACTAGAAACTGACTTTGAAAATATCTTTTCTCCTCAATGTTTTGTTTTGTTTTTTTTTTTTTAACGAATTTCCTCAGTTTGATCTATCTGTATGGAGAAGTGTAAATCATCTTTTTTTTTTTTTTTTTAACCGATTTTCAATTATCTAGAGTATTTCTAAGACACATCTTTCACTCATTAGATGTAGAGATTCTGGTTCTTGACCAATACATAAAGTCAGAGGAAACTACGCAGTTATCCAGCTGAGAACCAACTTATTTTAAATATAGTTTTTCCTTAGATTATTGTGCTTTAATTATGCCGTGTGTAAAATGTTTTTATACATAAAGCCACCAATCTGAACTTACTGAAGTGATGGCACCTGTCTTTGCAGTCAGTGTTCTCAGCCCACTAATGGTATAAAATATAATCAGTTTTCATCTGCTAGTTTCAATGGAGTTAAAGTTTCTGTTCAAGATGTAGCTGTGATACTGCATTGCATTGCACAAAGACAGTTTCTGCACTTCTACCCAGTATCATATCACTCACTTTGCACTGCAGAATTGGGGCTCTGAAAGATTTCACTGGAATCCTTCTCAAGCATATAACAACATAGTCTTTGTAACCACTAATAATTCAATAGGAATAATAAAAAAAATTTGTAAAAGAGGCTATGTTTTCATCTAGAATATTCACTATCTCATATACATGTGTACCTCCAAATGGACAAGCACAAAAGGCAAAGGTAGGTTGCAACTTTTCATTACCTGTACATATGCTTTAACTTGGCATGTGTACATGCAAGGTTTAAATTTAATGCATACAAAGAGACTAACTAGATGACAGCATCTCTTTTAAAAAATCAGGGACTGGTGATTTTTGCATGATGGAAATACAGAAAGCCAGAAGTGTAGAAGTTTCTCTGTAGGTCAAACATTTCAAGAACTGGAATCTTTCTGCCCCACTACAGGATAAACAATCTGCTACAGTCTTATTAGGAGAAATGGTAGACCCTAGTGTCTTGCTTAGCTATCATCTCACATTCCCTAGGGGCTTGTATATCCTCTGTGACTGAGATTTGCACGGCAGTCTCAGGGATTTGGATGTTCAGTTCCCATTATTGTTGCTGATGACTCAATTCCTTTGTTAAGGGATGTTCTTTCTGTGGATTTTCTGTCTTTTGGTTCTGTGGCCTATGTTCCCTACCTTCCAGTATTTCCAATGAGTCTTCAGTCGGCTCTTGAAAAGCCCTTTCACCATTGGTGCACGTTCTAATCCTTCACAGAAAGCCCTTCCGTAGCTATAGGAAAGCTATTTCTTACAAAGTTGTTACACACATATCTCCCTCAAAAGCCTAGAGAAGCTGTACTGGAGAAAAGCAAGCAGGAGAGGTAGTAGAGCAGAAATATAGATTACTTGGATGATATCAGAGACCTTGGGACAGAAACTTCTGAGGAAGCTGCAAGGCTGTCCAAATTAGAATAAACTATTTGGACTATTTTGGCCCCTGGAGCACAGTAGAACTCCCTGACCTATAAATTCACATTTGATCTTCTCTTTTTCAGGGATGCTCCTTCCTCATGTTATCTACACCAACACCAGAAAATAAAACAGTGCCAAGACAATTGCTTAAATACTGGTCCTCCATCTTCCCTATTTAACTGTTTTCAGATTAAGCATAAAAGAATTTAACCATGGATGCAAGGCACACAGTCTTAATTAACCTTCAAACCAGAGAACATAACCTGGATCTTTTTATTCACTACAACACACAAAGCCAGTACAGGCAAAGGTTAAAATCTCACTCTGTGACATTTAATCATCTTTGCAAGGCACACTTAGGACAGCTGATGAGAAGGGCTGCTGCTCTGTAATGATTTCATAGTTAATAATACATTCACATATGTGTGTCCACATGTGTGTGTGTGTGTGTCCACAAAATGTTTATGTCAATGGATGGAACAGCTACAGCATTATTTTCAGCTGTACTTAACAAGGCAATCCAGTACAGAGGACAAGTTTCAAGGCTTTGACTTACAACTCATGTTTTTAATATGGTTTTAACTGTCTATGTTAGTAAGTCATAAATATGAAAATAATACACCAAGAATAAACACAAACACCCACTTCTATGTTATTTCATTTTTTCTCTGTATTTAAAGTGTCCATGCATCTTCACGTTTCCCTCCTTCTCCCTGTCAGTCACTGAGGTTCTCAGTTATCCAGGTGAAAGGGACTGACACATTCTAAATTGTAAAGGTTTCTTTTTCTGCCTTGTTGAAAGAATTCTGAGGACCAACTGGAGTAAACACTTGAGAAAAAAGTCCTTGGTGCTTATACTGAGACAAGCATGCATGTTTTGCTATGTATCTGCAGTCACACAAAACCAGGGGAAAAAAGACTTCCAAAGCATGTCCTCATGTTCCTAAACATTCTCTCTTTCCCCCTCTCACTGCTTTCTTCATAATGTCCTTTGGCCTCAGAGAATATTAACAATTTGTAATATTCCATAGTGTTAGAATCAGCCGCCTTAAGAACAGTGGTGGTAAACCTTACTAAAAGTTTTAAATTTTCCTTTCTGAATATATGTAACAAGCAGTGTGAGAGAGTGTGTTCTGCCTCTCACTTTTTTTCAGCATTTCTTGAACACACACACACACACACACACACACACACACACACACACACACGCACATAGATACACACAGTTCTCTCACAACTAACCTGCACAGTATCTATACAGAACTGCCATGAGCATGCTGAATGCTTTCAAGCACATAAGCACATCATCCAGAGATGCCTGGAGATCATGTTGGAGATTTGACTTTCAAGCCCTCTAAAAATACTTTTTTTGGCCCCATTGCATGCCTGCTTTAAATGCCCAGTTCTCATAGTCAACAGAGAACTGACCACAGAGCTTTATGTTCATTCACTCTCCGAACAAAAGTTTTTTGTTTTTTTGTTTTTTTTTTTAACCTAAAGATATCTTTTGAAATCTTCAATGCTACTTGCTGAAAGGACACAACCTTTCTCTCAAAAATCAAATTAAATCTAGCACTATTTTACATTAACCATAGTGAAGCCAGTGAGTTTCCATGCAACTTGAGGTGCAATTGGATTTTTATTTCTGTGAACCACTGGTCAGTCCTTTTAAACACAAAACAAAACAACACATAAAACATTCCTTCTCATGCAAAAGCTAAACAAATCTGCCAGAATTTAATTGCACAAAAGGACTTTGAAACCTAATTTTCTGACTTCACCTTGGGATTACCTGGATATAAAAGTACAATAAAAATACATCAATAAAGCGTGACATATAAAAATGCTATTCATGTTCAAAGATGAAGAAATCATATTTCTCCTGTTTCATATCCTATGCAGTCTTGTTGACTTCCTAATTCTTCACACCGTTGTGCAAAGATTTTGCCCCACATACTGTAGGAGCACCATGCAAAAGAAACACAGCGCAGTAGTGGTTGCATGCTGCCTCCTGTATCTGATATTGCTGATACTTTTGACAGGAACATTTATTAGACCATGTTAGCAGTAGACAAGAGATTCCCTCAGATACCCTTAACTGTCTTCAGCAGACTGACCATACATTGTAGACATGTCAAATAAAGCAGCTATAAAATATCCACCACATGCAATCACTTGCTACTTTATGAGAAATTGTTACAATCATGGCTTGAGAATGATCAAAGAGAGAGAGAAAAAAAGAGGCCATCACTTTAAAAACAGTTAGAATGAGACCATGTCCTATATGAAAAGCACATGGAGGTTAAGCGGGTAGTCCGACTCCAAATTCCAGGAATAATCTCCCTTCTCTTCATCTCTCCACTACAGTCTAGTTTAACATGGAATTACTGAAATCAGTAGGATTTTTTATAATTTATTTTACAAAGGGAAAGAATCAAATGTTAAGCTTTTCTCTTTTATGGGCATCACTAACTAATGTTGAGGGGAGATTCTCAGGATCCCTCATAGGTTTACATTGCAGTTTCACAGAGGACTAGAACCTTCCATCTTAACTCAGTGAACACTAATTTACTCCACAAGTAGGACCAGAGAAAGTAAAACAGATCTGTTAAAATTTTGCAACCAGGGATATTGCCTACCCAGGGGAATGTACAACACAGCTCAGGAAAATGGTGGTAAAACCTGCTCTACAACCTCTGGATGTGAAAGTGGGAGATTCTGTCCTGCTCCTGGAAAGTATTTATTAGCACAGAACAAGAACCATGTTCTTGATATCCACTATTAATTACACCCACATTAACATCCGTGTAAAGTGAAAGGAAATAACTGATGTGTTTTCCTTACATCACAGTGGCACCTGTCTTTTTGCTTTTGAAATTTGGTACCTATGCGAAGTCTCTCAATAATCTTTGCTAAGATGCCTTTGTCTTTTTATTTATCTATGACATTTACAAGCAAATTAATGTTGCATCAGGCTGGTACGAATACAGCTTTATTAGCCTACAGAGACTCAGGACTTCATTGCATCTTTTCATTCCCTGTCAACAACAACCCATGACTACAGATGACTGCCTACTTTCCAAGTTTAACCACAAGAGAAAAAGAGCAGAGGTGACATGGATGGGCATGGAGGGCAGAAGAATGGAAATCAGTGCATTCATCACAATGATGAAACACAAGGTGAATTCTTTAAATGCCATGAAGCTCCCTAAATCTCCTCAATACTTTCTCTGGATACTTTTCACAGGCAGTGCTGAAAAAGAGGGTGATGTGTTGTGAACAGAATCCTAAGGCCGATGAAACAGTTTAATTGGAGGATAAATTTCTCAGGAAAAAGTGGAAACTTGGGATAGTGTCATCATCCTAGATCATTACAGATACCAAGAAAACACATATAAAGTACAAAATCATAAAGGATAGATGAAAACCAAATAGTTACTATTATAGCTCATATGGGGAGACAGGAACCTTCACTCAGGGAGGTTCAAAACATTATCGTAGGTTGAACCAGAATGAACACTTCATTAAAATGGCTTCCCCCTTCTATATGGGTAGTAGGGAATCTTCCAGAAGGATGGGTGTGGGTACAACAAATATGGAAAGGGAAGGAGGGGGCTTGCCCAAACTAGGTAATTAGGGGAGGGGTTACAATCACATATGGGCAAGGAGGGAAGGGTCTTTAACCAAAAAAGGGACATTACATTACAGCATTTTTCAGCCAGTGGGTGAACAGAGAGAAAGAGACTAACAACTTATAGGGATTCCTATAAGGATTATGGGGTACAGTATAAGAACTTTACATAACAATACTAGAATTCAAATAACAAGGTATTTGGTTTTTGAACGTCCTTAGCAGATTTGAACAACATCTTCATCTCCAGTTGACTCCTTTAAGGTCTCCACAGATCTTCTGTACTGTTCTTCCTCTTCTTCCTCATGTCCATCTCCCACAAGTTACTAAGCTTTTCCAATGCTACTGGAAGAAAGGCTAGGTTGGTCCTCCAACAGTGTCAGAAGCTCTTTGTACTAACAGCAGGAAACGGATTTTTCAGTTGTTCTGATGTGTCCAGCTCTTTTGAAACCAACAAAATAGACATCTAAGTACTTATGCTACCTCATAGTTTTAAAAAGCCTTGCATGGAAGAGCAAGAGAGAATAAAGATTGCTAATTCACTTCATGAGGCAGCCACAGTAGTGATGGGGGAGTTAGGATGATTTTGTAGTCACAGGGTCCTGGGCTGCATCAGTGTGGTGGCATGGCATGATTTTGCCTCTCACTGCCCTTTAAGTAAAACAACTGATTTTTAACAACTATTTTTGTATAGAAAATAGCCATTTCATAAGTCTGCCAAAACAAGTTTAGAAACTTCACACAGTTTTCCTTTCAAGACTTTGTAACTTTGACATTCATGAGCCTCTTTGAAAATACAGAGATTAGTTATATATATAGTCAAAAAAGTCACCTTCCTAAAGCACAGCTGACAATGTTCCAGAAAAATTCTAAAACCTCAAAAGGATTTCAGATTAGCATCACAGTAATGTGGTGGGATCCAATCCCAACTGTTCTGTATTTTTTAAACCAATAGAATGTCATGCTTAACATTTAATTGTTCTTTAACTAAATAAATACAATTATGATTTTCCCTGTAATCTTCCTGAACAAGCTGAGAAATATACCTCATACCTACCCATGCATTCGTGCAATTACTGATGGGGTTGTTGATGGAAGATTAGAATTTCCCGGGTGAGTTGCTGATCAATGAACCTTGCCAGTGTATCCAGGGATAGCTGGAGTGCTAAAGGAAACAGTTAAAGGAGGGGGGAGGGAGGGTGGGTGGAGAAAGGGTAAATTAAATGACTAGAGGCTTGAAATATAACTTATAGGTCAGTTCTAAAATGGCTAATGCTTATCAAAGATGGATGGGGTAAAATGTCTTCATAATATAATCCTTAGTCCTTAGAATGTATCAACTGCCATAGCTTCTTTAAGGTCAGGGAAATGATTTTATCATGATCCAGCTGATGATCTGGGCCAAAATCTCTGGTTAGACATGGTGAAAGTGGCTTCTTTAGAGACTTTTTTTTTTTTTCCAATTTGTTTATGTTTAATATCTGTATGATATTCATGATTACAAGAAACATTTAATCACAAAGAAAAAATGGAGCACAGGGTTTATAGAGACCACAAAAAGCAAGAAAATATACTTTAAAAATGTAATAAAGATTTAGCTTATATTTAGTTTCCACCTTAAATATGGAATTTAGATAGCAGGCTTTATGCCAACAGGTGTGATTTCTCATGAGCTAAAACATAAATGGTTTTCCAAATTATTCTAAAGTTATCTAAATTTCCCCTTGAATTTATTAAGATGTAATATTAACAACACTGCTTAGACATATCAACTTCAATTCCAGTTCGAGTGCACCAGTGGACTGAGACATTAAGTGCCACATTTTGGAAAACTAAAGCCTTTTGTTAATTCTGATGCTAAGTTTTAATGTGAAAATGAAAAGCAGAGTTCCTTAAAGAGATGGAGTTAAAAAATTCTACTTATCTGAGGTAGCACAAGAGAAAATTTTGATAACAGCTACTGGAGATGAAGTGAAGATGGACAAAATTAAAGAAAAAATAGGTACTAATATGAATTCAGACAAATAATCAATTAATATTAGAAATAAAACAATATAAACGCCTAATATGGTACTTTTTTGCAGCTCAAAATTATTCAGAGTATCATCAATATTGTTCTATATTGACAGCTCAAAATAGGACACTGTTGAAGTATACATACATCCAGATTGCCCATACACATGGAGATAAAAGCTCATGACAGGTTGTTTCATCCACTGTATCAACTAAATATTTGGCATTATACACCTTGTCTCCATTAGTCCCTTGTGGGTCTTCACACTGTATAAATGATAAACAGTGCCTCCTTTAAAATAATTTCTGAGGTATTCTTTGGTTCCCTTGTACTCCAGGTAAAAATAAACAGTTCCTTTGATAATAAAGTGCATAGAGCTATTAGTTTCATACAGTTGATCAGCTACTTCTCCACAACTAAGTTCAGCATAGGATACAAAAATGGGCATATGTAAGTGATGGGGTTTATCAGACTTTGTGTGTCTTTGACTTGTGTACTAGGAAACTTGGCTCTGAAATTCCTTCCCAGAATAGCAGAGGTAATGACAAAATGCTGTATCTACTAACCATGGTTATAATGAAGGACTGTGGGTGAACTATAATTGCCATGGGAGCACTGGGGAGACAAGCTATAGTCTTTGTACCCATAGTTAGCAGAAGCACCATCTAGGTCTTTCTCTTATTTTGGAGTAGCCTTGCACTAACCCATACATTCATACACTGCTATGCTCCCTGGGCCTGCTCCAGTATACAATCCTCCAGACAAGATGGCTTTGTACAATCAATACAGAAGTTTTGCAGCACTTGGGGAGTTGTTCCCTATAGGGAATCACCGAGTATTTGGCTGAGCACCTAACAAATCTACGGTCTGTCTTGACAGGAGCCATGCAGGCGCAACAAATAGGCTTGAAAATCCAGTATAGTAGCAGGACATATTTTCAGAATTGGCCAAAATTTCTTGCATCCAAATGTGCTTTTTCATGTCAAAGCAGACAATTGTTAGGTTATGTGTAGATTAGGTGACTCTGTAGGAAATTTCTTCTGCATATCAGGATCCCTCCAAAGGACACAATGGATATTGGGTGGCTGTGAGTATAAGCATATGCATTCATTCAAACCTGAAAACATACCTGATACCACCTTGAAGGAATCAGATCTGAAAACAGTTTATCACCCTGGTGATGGGATACATCCCAAGATACATCTCTCACATGTCATGGAATTGCACTGACCTCCTTGAAATTGTATGGATGTCACACAAAGGAGAAGCAAATCACAACAAGAAGTCCTATATTAACTTGCAATATTTTATAGCCTATTTGAAGTTAACTCACATAATAACTATACAACTGTGGAGATATTAGAATACACTGTGAGGCATCTGATTGATAAAAACTTCTCACCTTTAAAACTTGCAAAAGTAGAAGATAAAAGCATCATAAATGTCCAAACATGACCTAAAAGTCAGTCTGAAAGATGATACTAGATGAAGATTTGTTGTGGACCATCTGTTAGAAAAAAATCAACAGAAGTTGGTACATTCATGGGATGGATGTAGATTTGACAGAGAAGAGAGGTGGGTAGGGAGAAGATAAAAGTACTAGGAAAGTGAGTGAGCTTACACTAAAGTAAAGTAGCTGCTCTCCTGGGAACCTGCAAAGAAGATGCAGAAATGTGCTGCGGTTATGTAGGTGATAAAGCAGAAGAAACTGAGGTTCAAAAAACAGTCCCTTGGGTTTTTGGTTTTTTTTCGATCCTGCTGTCTAGCCCTTGTGTGCTTTCTCTGATGAGCTGCTAAACCATATTGCTGCTGCTGAAGAAAACAACTAAGTGCCAAGCTACCACTGGGCAACACACAAAACTCCTCTGTGGTTATGCTGTCGTCAACAAGCTTTCTTTCTCTAACCATGACATCTCTCTTGTTCATGCACTTCCTTATTATCGTCCTAGCAGCTCTTAGTCCTGACAGTGAGAAACATTGAGTCAACACTGAAAAACATTGAGTGTTGGCAGTTGAATATGTGTAAGCACTAAGATTTTTCAATTGGACTGTAGTGATTCTGAGTGCCTCTGCTTTGGTGTGCCTCTGTTTTGTATGCCCATAGAGTCATAGAATCATTAAGGTTGGAAAAGACCTCTAAGGTCATCAAGTCCAGTTGTTAACCCAGCACTACCAAGTCCAACACCAAACCATGTTCCTCTGTGCCACATCTACAAGTCCTTCAAATATCTCCAGGGATGGTGTCTCAGGCAGTCTGTTCCACTGTTTGACAATCCTTCCCATGTATAATTTTTTCCTAATATGTAGTGTAAATCTCCTCTGGTGCAACTTGAGACCATTTTTTCTTGTCCTATTACTTTTCACCTGGGAGAAGGGACTGACCCCAACCACTCCCCATCTGATTTTTGGGTAGCTAGATAAGATCCTCCCTGAACCTTGTGTTCTCCAGGCTAAACAACCCCAGCTCAGCTCCCTCAGCTGCTCCTCATAAGATTTGCACTCCAGACCCTTCACCAGCTCCATTGCCCTTCCCTGGACATGCTCCAGCACCTCAGTTTTAGTTCTTGGAGTGAGGGTCCAAATCCTGAACACAGGATTTGAGGTGCAGCCTCACTATCTCGGGATGTCTTTGAAGACTTTTATTTCCTAGTAATATTCAGGCAAAGCAGTGTGAACTTAATTTAGTTGGTCCTCCATACTGATATTTAGAGCTGTTTGAGATGCCTTAAGGTATCTGAGATAACCTCCTATAGCCCAGGATTCACAGAAGATAAATATTTTTCTGAAGTAGCAGTTGGAAGTGATGGTCTAGGGTGCCTCTAGGGTATCGGATGCTTAGGTTTGCCATGTAAATTCCATGTCAGCTATGTTTGTGGAAGCAAATCAAGATTCCCTCAACCTTGGATCCAGCACTTCAGCTTGAGCAATGAAGGTATCCAAGTTCTTTGTGAAAAAACTCTGTCTAGTGAAAGCAATATGGTAGACCTTGCCCTTCCAAGGAAAGAGTCCTTAATATTTTACTCTTTCTTATAAACAGTCCTGTATAAATATCATAGAACTAAATCACCATATTAAGTTATTAACTAGCTCTTCTTGTTACTGCAATTATAAAGTAGGCCTCTCAGATCCCATTTCCAGTACAGAAGACTTGCAACTGGCTTCCTCCTTAAATTCCCTTTCAGGAAGACTGACATGTCACATGTTTGTGGCCCTTCTTGATCCTATTTATCTCCATGATCCTACTTGCTAAACAGAGTAACCTGTGATAAAAATGCCTCAGACATGATCCTGTCTCAGGAAACTCAATGCATACACTCTCTTGTGTTGGGAAAGAATATACCTGGAATATTTGTAAAATCAAAACAAAGTGCTTCATGCAGAGAATGGAATGACAGGATTTTTGAGCAGTGCATTATGAGTTGCATTTCATATCCTTCTCCTCAGCTATCAAAGCAGGATAGGGAATGCATACTTACAAATGGATTTGGGGTTTCTAAAAGGATAAAACCATCAAAACGGCAACTCCCTAGAAAAAAATTGAATCTTGTTGACCCGAAACATTTTGTTTCTACAATTTCAAACTGTTTTATTCTGCTTTCAACTTTTTCAGCCCCCACTTTTTAGTATGGGATAATATTTTTCAGAAACAGTAATGAATTTCAAGCAGTAGCAAAATCTCATTTGAAGAATGTCAAAGTAGGATATGTCAGCACACCCCTGCCCCCTGCCTCAAGCTCACCAATGAGTCAAACTGGAAAACCACTAAAAAGGCATCCATGCTGGACAAGCTATCAGTTTCTGAAGGAAAGATATGTTGAGAGAGAGTTCTTAGGCATCCCATATAAATGACTGCGCAAGGTGCAAGGCAGCAGAGGGTTCCATTCCCAGTTAATTGTGCCTGTGAGGTTTTTATGATAACTTGAAATTATAAGGGATGCATGCACACAGTCAGTTGGAAAATGACTACTCTGAAGAAATATGACCGAAGTCAATACAGATATACTGACACGATAGTACGATTTTGCTCAATATGCTTGAGAAACCATGATTAAAGGGGAGTTTCAGAGAATAGCTTTGTACAAGAACTTCAGGACTTGAAACACTTAGGACTTTATCTTCTTAGAAACTGTATATATTAAGTTCCCATTTCA